GACGAGCACAACATTCGTATCTAAACCCGTCCCACTCGCACGCCATCCTGTTCTTTTCCGTCCTGTTGTAATGGTCGCAGCCCTTGACCGCCCAGCTGTTCGGCTGACAACCCGTCCACCAACAGTTTTCGTCCGGATGGGCGTCCGGAACGGCGTAGGTGTCCGGAACGACGTGGGTGTCCGGAACGGCGTGGGTGTTGGGAACAGCGGTTTCCAGACGAGCACAGCATTCGTATCTAAACCCGTCCCACTCGCACGCCATTCTGTTCTTTTCCGTCCTGTTGTAACTGTCGCAGCCTTTGACCGCCCAACTGTTCGGTTGACATCCCGTCCACCAACAATCATTGGCAGAAGGCACGACGCGGTGATCCGGTGTGCAGCAGTAATACTCCGAACCGCCGACGCATTCTTTGACGTTTAGCTGCGTTCGATTGTACTGAGCGCATCCGACAACGGCCCACGTTCTCGGCTGGCACCCGGTCCACCAACATTCGTCTCCATCTGTAGCACATTGAAAACGAAAATGTCGTTTTATCCAAAAAGTTTACAACAACTAACAATCTCGTAAAAACTTTGGAAACATTTTTTACACTGCTTTTATATATTAGTATCACTTTTATCCGCAAAAATGTTAAAGGCTGTTGGTAATTCTGCTCGCTTAGGTTTATCTTAATGTATTCTTAATGGTTTGAAAAATATTTACAAGCCTATCTCAAAATATTGTTAAACTTTGATCTATTTGACGTATTCGTATTGTACATTAAACACCTATTTATGGCTATTCGTTTATATGATAATTAGTTTTCCCATGCGTTCAACTGCCAACTATATTACAAAACATGTTATGTATAGATAAATATATAGTAAATAGAGTTTATCGCAAGGCGTAGACAACAAACAAACGAATATAAATCTATAGAAAAATATATGTAATAATTTGAATAATATTTCTTTCAAGGATTATGGTAGAATACGAAAAGATAAAAACAAAATATTTTCGAAATAATATCTACCAATACTTGCATGCTTTTATTTTATACTGATGAATTACTAAACATAATAATAATTGTAATAAATATTAAACATTATGCATGGTATCATTAATATTCCATTGTTATTTGTTGCATATGCTATAATAGTCTATGTTCTATTGGGTCTAGTAGCTTACAGAGTCACTCAAATTTCAAGTTAATAGGTAAGTTATAGTCAGAAGCGGTTTTAACAATTTGTCACCCAATGTAAAATGAAATTTGTCACAACATTAATTATCAGTCTTTTATTTTGATTGTTGTTTGTATTGAGATCTACTTTTATCTGTTCATATTTAAAGTGTTTTATAAAATAAAAAAAATATTAAATTATATTTTATAGTTTAAAATATATGCTCACCAAAAACGTGTAAGCATACTCTAAATGATTCGCGTATACGTTTATACTTCTCGGTAGACGGACAATACGATAATAAACAGATTAACTTGTTATGATACCATTATTCTATAAATAATTAGATAGATAATAATATAATATAACCGTCGTCATCACAGACGACTTCCCGAGAAAGAATAAATATTAAGTACTTTGCTAAAAATAAACAAATACAAATTACACCATTCAAAATTTTGAAATATTAAGTCGAAAAAATGATGTAATTTTATTACATAAAAACAAACTAAATATTCAACACAATTTTGCCGCTCTATGCGGTCGCATAGTTCGCAGTGCCTTAAATCTACTACTGGGTTCCTATTTGCTACAATACATAATAATTAATAATTATACAACCAATCAATTGTATCAATTGTTTTAATCACTTGTGTATAGTATACGTAAAAATAAATATGATATTGTGTTTGCATGTTAACGATATTTTATTTTATATGTTATATTTTAATAATATATTATAAAATATTATTTTATACTCACTCGTAGCGACTGCGGCTTGTGTTTGTAACACGATAACATATAGTAAAACGAAACATTGGCAATATTTTCGCGACGCGTGGACCATGATAATTTATTAATGATAATAAGTATTAATCGCGTTATTATTTTAAATCAATATCTTTATCGTTTCTTCAAACCTATCTATAAAGTGTGCGGTTAAACATCTATCAGTGCACTATGGACAATACGACCTAGGGCGCGTCAACGAATCTCCATGGAACAACTTAATGCATCGAGCTACATTATATCAGCTGGACGTTTTGCAAAATGAAAAACACGTCTATCGCCTATCATGACAATATTCTAATAATGCTGAGTTATAGGTAGGTGTAGTAGGTACTGGATGCTATATAAGTAGGAATCCGGTTATGGACACCGGGTGCGTTGTCATCATTGGCGTTGTAACACGAATGGGAAATATAATAAATTATCATAACATTAAATTTTAATACAGAGATAGCCAGGTAGGTAAAATTATATTATTGTAATATCAATCTTTTTACGGTTGTTTAAACATCGAAAGTCGAAACCACTACATCAAGAGAACGTCATGCCGAAGTTCGTATCACATGCTAAAGGACCTACGACTTAAATGATAAGTATAATACATAGAGAAAAAGCCATGATCGAAAAACTCAAAAATCAATATTGATTATTGTATACTTAACGTCATATTATGACATAAACATTATTGCATACAAATTCTAAAATAACTATACATTAATCCTTTAAGGATTAGGAGTTTGGATATATTAAATTAACGAAAATTACATTTTGAGGCATTTTATAAATGGATTTTTTTTTCTAAAGTCACATCAGTAAAATACTAGTTACCCCCCTTGTAAGCCTATTATAGATGAACATAGAGGGATATGGAAAAGGGCACTTAAGCAGTTAGAAATGTTATTAAACGCTTACGATTCAAATATACTCTATCTAAACGATTTCAGCCTTTTCAAATTTTTCTTGAGTTACAGATTTAAAGCAATCACGCCAGTTTAAAGATGATGTAAAAAAAATAGAAACTAAGATTATTAAAAATTAAAACAACAATTATAATTATATTATTATACAATGAGAGATTGTGAGGTAAAATTAAATGAATCTAAAACAAAAACTCCACAGGACAAAAAGCTATACAGATAAAAATGACACCGATTTATTTTTGTGCTAAAACAATTTTGTAAATAATAATTTATTTTAAAATTTATGGTCATTATTTAATACGATTTATAAAAATATAATAATTAATAAAACAAACAATTTAAAAAGTTTATATAATAACAATTAAAATGATTGTATTATGTTAACAATAGCTGTCAAATTTTTATTAATTTTGTCAGTTGTTTTAAACTATTATTATATATTTTATATAATTTTTCCTCGTGTTTTTATAAATTTATTTTGAATTTTATCGATTAGATATTGGGTTAATTTTGTTTCGTTAGAAGACAACTTTAATCTCATTTTATTTTTTTTAACTAGTATCTAAATAGAAGGGTATCTGATTGTTATTTACAAATTTCAAAAAATGATGGTTGTACCTTTTTGTTTGGTTATTGAGTCGATAGAAATTCTGTTTGTGGTGGATAATAGTGATCAAAAAAAGTTAAAAAATGGGACACATGCGATATTCTATATAACTTTTTTGATGTTTTTTTTTTATTCATAACTTTTCTATCGGTGATTTTTAAATTCGTGGTTTTTGTTAGTATCTTTTTCAATCAAATATGTAATAACATATTATGTGATCAGTAGGTGTATTAAACGCGCATTCATATAATCTAAAATATAATGCTTATGCTTGTGTTATTGATATATTTCGGATTTATATTCTCTTAAAATCTTCTAAATATGTTTTTATATAATTCTAAATAGGTATTAAATCCGCTTAATATTATTTTAAATTATCAGACATATGATGTTTTATGTCCTTGGGCGTACACTATAATATATTATGATCATTGACTCATTGATATGCATATGCGACGCACGTAAACAAAATTATCATTCCGTCAATATTGAACACTATTAATAATTATAGTCTAGTCAAATAATTATTCATAAAAACCCAATTGGTAATGGTTTTATGCACATGTAATAATTATAAAAATGATAAACTCTGCTGTAAACACAATTTTTGTACAAGGTAAGCGGCACAATTTTAAACTTATGCAATTATCTACTACTTTTTGCTTATTGAAAAGAAGTAAAATAAATGTTCTCGCCATTATTAAATATAAAAACATGTTCTGAAACAAATAATACTACTCTTCTGCTGGCGTTGTTGGTTTATAGTGTTTATACCTACTAGTCAATCAACCATTAAATTAAAGGTACGGCCTCACTGAACGCGATTTGCAATTTTACGATTTTATCAAAACTATAGAATAAATATAACATGGCCGCATTGTAACTTGTGAGCGTTATGCATTTTATGATAAATCGCTTTTAACGCAAATAAATCAACATAGTTCGTTTTCTTGCGATTAATAGTTCTTAGAAAGCCCCTCATATGGGTTGATCCAGAAAAATTAGCTGCAGCAGTTTTTTTAAAAGAACCAATTTGGAACCCTCACCTTGCTGGTCATAAAAATTGGACTATTATTATTTAACAGTGGTGGTCTGATTAAAGTAAAGAGATAACTATAGTTAGTAAGTAGTAAGTACTAAATACAATAATAATATTAGATACAATCGAATCAATCATCGACTCTTGATAATTCAAATTTGGCGAGACTTTTAAAAAATTTCGAATTATCGATATGACGTCAAAGAGCATTCCCCATAATATAGTAATGTATTCATCCACATTGACATGATTAGTTAAGAAATAAAATGCTTACGATTAAGATCTTACAATAATAATTCTTTAGTTATTGAAAATAATAAGCGAATTTCTACACGATAGTATTGTAAATTATTAACGAAAAGATTATAAAAAATACATATTTTGATGAATATGCTTCGAATCACCGAACATTGAAAGGATGAAACTTCGATTTGTCAGATGTTAGTGGCCATTTTTTCCAAAATTTAATTTCGAATTATTGAATGTACTTAAATGGATGATTTTTATTCGAATTACCGCGAGATTTTCACGAGAATATAAGCATTTACTTTGAATTATCGAGAATCGACTGTAATTAGGATAATTAGATAATATTATAATTTATAAGCAATATTGTTAAGTATTGGTACATTGGTTATAACTTATAATATATTATTCTAATATTTAATGATAATTGAACATAATATAAAATATAGATCCATATGCATTATGCATTGATTACAAATCATAATGATTCAAAATTAATTATTAATCAATATAAGGTATACTTAAAGTATGTATAAACTCGCTAGAATTTATAAATTATACTATAACCAAATAATTAATTGGTATACTAAAGTATTAATAACTACTAAAGAGTAAATATTAGATTCATAAGATATTATAGATGGGAAAATTACAATTTAATCAAATACACACGTCACACTTGTACATATTATATAATATATAGTAATATATTAAAATAAACTTACCAATTGTTACTTTATATACAAATGTATTTTTAACAATTAAGTCAAGTTTATACAAGCAGCCACTTATAGTGCACAAAATTGCAAAACATAAATAACCCAGCCCTTGCGTTTAAATGAAAATGATAATTATTCTTGTATGTTTTTGATTTTAAAATAGTACCTACCTAATACCTAATGGCTAATACTAATTGATTGAAATTTAAAATTGACGAACAACTACTAACTAGTTGTACTAGTTACAGTAGAGGTGGTCAGAAGTGACAAAATATTGTCACGATGACTTGGGTGACAGCGACTTTTGATGGTGTCTGATTATTTAAATTATGTAAATGTTAGTGATAGCATAGATTAAATATACTAAAAAATATATACTAGTATATTTAATCTGTGGTGATAGTGACCATGAATATATTATAAGAATAGTGACAAATAGTGATTACTAACTAGAGTAGATCGGGTGACAGAGTGATCAGAGCGGCGATCATTATATACTTTTTATTATAGTGTCACCGTGTGTGTGTGTGTGTGTGTGTGTGTGTGTGTGTGTGTGTGTGTGTG